GTAAGAAAGAGATGGTTCTTTAAAGAACCTTTGACTGAATGGTTCTTTGCGGAACCAAAAATGGTTCTTCTATGGCATCACTTGAAGAACCTTTTGAAGCACCTTTATTTTTAAGTGTACAAAAAAAAAGTGTTGTGAAAGTGATTATGAAAAGCACGCACATGAATAATTATCACTCTTTAATTGTAGAAGGTGATACACTAATCCGTGTGTAACTGGTTGAACAACCCGGGTTGGGTTGAATATGACTTAAATGATTGCAAATTGTTTTAATTATTGCTCTGTCCAACACAGTTCCTAATATTGGCATTCCAATAAAAAAAAATAACTGTGAAACTGAGATAACTAATTTGGCCTATAATAAATATAGCATAATTATAGTATTTTACAATGAATGAAAACTAAATCATTAGATGAGCAAAACATATTTAATTGATATCTCAAAAGGTGTTTCTACGTTTTTTTTTTTAAATCACTATAATTATTCACCTATGAGAAATTTTAACAGAAGTAGCCTATTAGCTTCATAACTACATCAAACCTCATGCCATGTTCACTGCGTTTGTTTGCACATCTGTGTACCAAAGTCACTGCAAAACTACTCTTGAATCTTAATAGACATGCAGTCCAACGGTCAGGGATAAAACGCTATAATATCAAATTACTAATTATATTTTTAAGTGAAAAGTTTAAGTAGTGAAATATACTACAGATTTTATTTTAGTAGTATTATTTATTAGTATTAGTATGATTATTTATCGTTTTTTATGTTTCACATACAGAGTCTGTCAACAGCCAAGAACAGATCCAAGAATGCATAATCTATTTGTTAACTTTTTTTTTGTTAACTTTATTTTTGGGAAACCTTCATGTAAACATAAAAATGTATTTTTATATGTATTTATGTATTTAAATGTATTTATATAATATATATATTTTTAAATCATATAAATAAAAATTGATAGGCATCATAATTCAAACACAAAAGAATGCATAAACTGTTAAAGGCTGCTTATGTGGATTTTTGATTACATGACTGAATCCCTTTCTTTTAATTAAATAAGTTTATTAATCGATAGCTAGCCTACTGTAACTGTACCACACTGTAAAATAATAAATCAAGACGGAAAAGAATAAATGTGGACTATTACGCCCTCCACTGTCGACAAATAAAAAGAAAAGACACCCTCCTATGCAAGCACAACCGACACTTTATTAACGTTTATCGTTTTATTTATTATTTTTAATTATTAACAACAAATTTTCAAAAGGTAAATCAATAGATAGTACTTCAGGACAAAATAACAAGATAGCCTACACTTACTAAATAGGAGTAAAGTGAAGTAAAAACTCACAGACTGGCCAAAAACGAGAGAAAAGAGGGAAAATTTGCCAAAATGAGTTACTTTTAACCTAAGACAGCTACTAAATGAAGCTAATAGATTTGGATAGTCGAGGGTGGGTGAATTGTCACTTTTGGGTGGTATTTTCATGACAACGGCTATGGCAATCATATTTTAATTGAGGAACATAGGCTTTTAATCATATGATAATCAGGTTTTAATTCTATTGTTTTACTTACGTTTCTCGTTATTGTTGTGGTAATTCATTCATTTGCAGGTCAATCTTCAGAAACAACAACAACAAAAAAGGCGGCAAACGATCGCGCATGCGCATTAGTTCAGTTAAGGAGTCTGGCGGTGAGGCAAAATTATTATTTTTTTTAGAACATGGCCAGGTAAAAGAAACTCGCTTTTTTGAGCATTTAACAGTTTTTAAAGACAAATCCCCAAAACATAAAACACATCATCCTGTGAACGAGTGAAAGATGACTTGAAAGAAATAAAAATAGAGACGAAGAAGAGGAGCCATTCTATGATATACACATTAAATGCAGAACTACGACAATACATTAAAATCGTGCTTGCTCAATTTCGTTCAAAATCCTGCTTGTTTTCTGTAGCTGTCTTATATATATAGGCCTAGCTAAGGTCATCTCATCGTCACAAACAGACATAAGCGCATGCAAAATGAAAAAGGGACTCACAAAAACACTTTTAGTTTTAGACGTGTTGAAAAGAGGAAGCTGAACAGAAAGAGACCTAAAATAACACAACTGATTTATTATGCATTATAGAACATGGCCAGGTAAAAGAAACTCGCTTTTTTGAGCATTTAACAGTTTTTAAAGACAAATCCCCAAAACATAAAACACATCATCCTGTGAACGAGTGAAAGATGACTTGAAAGAAATAAAAATAGAGACGAAGAAGAGGAGCCATTCTATGATATACACATTAAATGCAGAACTACGACAATACATTAAAATCGTGCTTGCTCAATTTCGTTCAAAATCCTGCTTGTTTTCTGTAGCTGTCTTATATATATAGGCCTAGCTAAGGTCATCTCATCGTCACAAACAGACATAAGCGCATGCAAAATGAAAAAGGGACTCACAAAGACACTTTTAGTTTTAGACGTGTTGAAAAGAGGAAGCTGAACAGAAAGAGACCTAAAATAACACAACTGATTTATTATGCATTGTTTTACAGCAGAATACACGATAACATAGCAGTTATGAGTCTATACTAGATTGTACTCTAATCGAAAACATTCCCAATCACATCACAATAAAAAAATACTTCATTTTTTTGGTAATGAATGATGACGGCGGCACGCATGCGCACAAGACTATTGCGCTGGTGGTCTAACAAGAAAAAAGAGAACTAAAACAACCCACCCACATATAGAGAAGCTCTGTGATTGGACGAATCCGACGTTTCAAACCAAGACGTCGCTCGCTCATTGGTTATCACGCTGGAACGTACCGCGCTAAACGCTGAAGTGGGCATCATTGTGCTTTCCCTCCGTTTCGTGCGAAAGGAGAAGAAGCTCGTCTGACGACATGGTAAAGCAAGTTTTAATTGTCTAATTTCTCAAATAAAGCCTAGCTCGGACGGTTATGGTTTGTATGAATTGTAAAGGTGCCGTGCTTTAGTTCTGTGCACGTGATGGCTTTTGATAAGCTCGCGGTGTTTGTGGCTTTGCAGTGTTCTTGGAAAAGAGCGCCGAGCGTGGATTAAAGTGAATTTGGTGCATTATTTAGCCAAAACGAATCAAATAGCCAAAAATATGCATGTGTGCATTTAATAGGATTGATGGGGTATGGCAATATCTTAAATTAATAGACTAGAGGTAACGTAATGTTTAGAAATAAGAGCCAACTCATCGAAATGTTGTTTGGACACGCTGAAAAATCTCAAATTAAGCTCAATTTTGAGTTTACTTTGATTTATTTGTACTTTTGTTTAAATGCTAAGAATGCAAAGGTATCACGAGTCATTTTTGGGCGGTTTTTAAAATCACTTTATTGTTCAAAATCCCCTGCAAGTCTACAAAAATAAATAAAAATCGAAGGTATAGCGTTTAATTGGTGTTACAGGTGCGAGATACATTTTTTTTTGTAATTATGTGACATGTACTAGCAATTTCAGAGTAAAACTAGTTTCACTGCTACTTTCCTCAGTGTAAAGCTCACACCAGAGATTTCTAATCTTCCTCCTCAATGAGACTTCTCAATAATCCTGGTTTCTTGTGCTTCTGCAGGCAGGAGGAAAAGCTGGAAAGGACAGCTTTTCCATTTTTTTTAACATTACTATAAAATCATCTGCTGATAAAGTTAGTTTTATTCATTTGATTATAGTTGATAATTAACTAAACGTTTGTTTATCAAATAGCTGGCCATACAGGTTTATTTGCCCTTCCACAAATTAAAAGGTCTTGAGTTGGAGCAGAAAGTCTTAATTTCATAGTCACGGCATTAAAGGATCTTTTTGTGTGTGTTTAGTCTCTTTAAATCAAAATACACGTACTTAAAATATAAAATATGCAGATATGAAGTCTGGTTTCCTGAGAAATTAAACATAACTGAACTTATGCTTTTTATCATAAAATTTAGATCAATTTCTTAGAAAACAGGACTACTTATGTCACTTTGCATCACAGTTAAATGCATCATTTAAGAATCTTTAGATTAAGATTTTTGCAATGTGATCAGAAGTTACAGTAAAATATATTTCTGTATTCTAGTGGCTGCGAGCTGAGGTATTTGAGTCATAAGTTATTTGTTTCTGTAAAATGATTAAGAAGTAGAGGAGATATGTTGGAAGTTGTGTTTTTAGACAAAGTGTTGCTAATGCAGCTCATTGTGTTCTCCCTAGACATTTACGTTTAGAGAACATATTGATGTGTTCCCTTCCATTTATTCCTTTTCTTAAAAAGAAAGTCTTAACTTCATAAAACCTGCAGAAACCCTGTAACTGAATGTTTATTTAATAACAATAGATAGTAGCATGCTGAAAGTGTTCCGTTTTAGGTCAGTATATTTGTTGTACAAAATCCCCAAAATGATACTTAAGTACAGTATTGTTTATGTTTCGGCTCCACATAATTTGAGGTCAGTAAGACTTGTTAATGTTTCTGAAAAAGTAAAATGCTGCATCTGTTTGATCAAAAATACAATAAACTAGTAATAATGTGAAATATTTGAACTATATTTGAATATCATTTAAAATGTAATTTATTCCTGTGATGCAAAGCTGAATTTTCAGCATCATTCCTCCTGTCTTCAGTGTCACATGATCTTCAGAAATCATTCTAATATGCTGATTTGTTGCTTTAAGAAACATTTATTATTATTATCTTATGTTGAAAACAGTTTGATAAATAGAAATGTCAAATCTTGTACAGAATTAGAGTCTTTACTGTAACTTTTGATCAAGTTAATCCATCTATGATAAGTATTAACGTTCAAAAGTATTCATTTTACGGCAGTAATAAAGCACCTTACACTTTGGTGTAATCAAATAGAAAATGATTTATTTATACACTCCTCTTGTACACATAGACATGAACGAAATAGAACTTTCTCGAGATTTACAAACATATTTAAATAATTCATCAAAACGAGAAAAAAAAAAAAGATCACATTTGTTATTGCACTTCACCCTGTATTCACAAATGCAACGATGTAAACAAAGCACAAGGCTTAACAGGCAGAAATGAATGTTTTGTTGTCGGCCTCTCGTCTCACTGTGTGTTGTAGTACTGCGAGTGATAGGGCTGGTATGGACTCATCATGGAAGGGTTGCTGGGATGGACAGGGAGGCTCTGTAGGGTGCTGTACTGATACAGGGCCTCCACAGGCAGGGTCGGCAGGCCTCCGGCTGTAGCAGGACTGAAGTGAAATCCCGGGCCGTAAGGTGCCGGGGTCTCCTGGACCGCCGAATAGTAGCTGGGATATGGAGCGGCACGGAAACTGTGCAGATCGGAGTAATGCATCATATGTGAGGCCACCTTGGCCTGGCAGGCGTGAGCCAGACTGTCCTGAACGGTCCGTTTCAGCTTCATGCGTCGGTTCTGGAACCAGTTTCTGATCTAATGGAAAGAAACATGGGATAAGTTTACATTGAACACATAAACAAAAGTTAAATCACTATTTTTTGGCGCCCCCTTTGGTTAAAAGAGTGGAATTACACATTTGTTGCGGTTTTCAATTCCAGTCCTGGGGCCCCCCTGGTCTGCACATTTTGCATGCAACACACCTGACTGAGATCATCAACTCGTTAGTTCAGCTCCTGGATCTCTCTCTCCTAACGAGTTGATGATCTCAGTCAGGTGTGTTAAAATAAGGGAGACATGCAAAATGTGCAGAGCGGGGGGCCCGAACTTTTTGCAAAATATCGTCCCTAAAAAAAAACATGCTCCTAGAACAGACGTTTGGAAAAGACATTCAAATGATATATGATTTATGATGATTACTAAAAGATTTGATAAAGAAAAAAGACAACAACAAAAAAGAGCGCCGAACGTCCCACAGGTGGGACGGTGACAGTTAAGGGGTTAACAAAAATGTCTACAAATTTATACTACTACAAATTTCGAAACAGTTTGACGTAACGAAGCCTCGTTCACTGAAATCACTTGACTTTGTCAGTTTGCTACATGCTCCGAATCAAAACAAATGATTCGCAGAGATTTCGTACAAAAAAGGTACAAAAAACTAACACGCAGTCGCCTTAAATCACATTATTAAACCCATTTAAAATAATAGTAATAATAAATACAATAAATCAACCTCATACCTGTTTATCAGACAGATTCAGTCTTTTGCAGAGCTCGGCTTTGTCCTGGGCTCCGAGATAAGCGTTTCTCTTGAAGGCTCTCTCCAGACTGTTGATCTGCTCTGCGGTGAACGCAGTTCGGGGTCTGCGGCCGGTAGAGGGAGATACCGACGGCGCCGGTCCTTCAGGGGCCCCAGGTGAGAGAGAGGGGCCACCCTCGCTCTCGTACCCTGATGTCTCCTCCTCCTCCGCGCTGCTGCTGCTGCTGAAACCTGGCTCTGATGCTATCAGAAAACAAAGACAAATGAGCACAAAGATTCAAATATGAAGTCAGGTAACAAAACAACAGCTACATAACAGAGAAAGAGGAAATATATTGTAAATTTGCATTTAAATGGATATTGCTCAACTGAATAAATAAATAAATACAAATGATATGACATAAAGGTAAAATAAAATAAATTCTATACAATCTGTAATTTTGTTATAAGCATTACTTTTAAAAATATTTGCCGTAAGCCAATTTTAAAAATAGGATAAAACTACTTGAAATGGATTTATACTTAATGAATAATGAATTCGTTTGTTTAACACAAATGTGTTAATTTGATTTATTATTGTATTATTCAACAGTACTTTTAACTTTTGTTATTATGTTTATTTAATCTATTTTTACTATTAATCTATTTATTTTAATATATTATAATTCAATAAATATAAAATACCAATAGTATTTCAGATGTGTATTTTACTTTAAATAATTATATACCATTTAAAATAACCCTTCTATTTAAAAAAATATTTCAAATGTAATTTATCCCGGTGTTGGCAAAACTTACACTTTAAACTTAACTTTTAACTATGTTATGCTAGTTTACTGTTAAACAAATTAAAAATAGTATTTTAGACCAGTATTTTTTCACTTACCAGTATATATATATATTTAAGATGTTAAAGATTTTATACTATTTCACTGATAATTAAATTAAGAACAAAATAAAATAACAATAGTACTTTTAGATCAGTATTTCATTCTTCAACAATGTAAACATGGATTATTGGAACAGTTTCTTACCGTGAGTGTGTTGCTGGATGATATTGTTGTCATTGGGCTCGGTATCTTGTGTAGATGTACACAACAAGCTGTTTCCCGGTTGTGCTGGCTCCATACGTTTCTCCTGATCCTCCATGTTTTCCGGTCTCCATCTGCTGTAGAAGCCAGGAAGGCTCTCAGAGGCAGAGGTGCTCGGGACGTCCTGGCCGGGAGAGACCCAAGAGTTTGAGGGAAGTGTGGATGCCGAGGCCTGGCTGCTTTGAGAAAGCCACTCGATGGAAAAATGCCCCTTCATCTTTGAGAACCAGCTGTGTCCAAATCCAGCAAAGAAAGACAGATCTCCAGTATAACACAGGCCAGTTGTGCAGTTCTTCTTCTTTAGGGTGAGTTCGAAGCTGAAGTCCCGTGTCTGAGTGAGTCAGATGTGTGTTTGTGTTCTGATAAGCATGGCTTTGGGTTCACTGATCGACACCTCCAGTATGAGGCTCAAGTATTTATAGGACTAATCCCAGCTCATTTACAATTCACTTCGCCCCGGATCAAAGGAAACGTCCTGATCTCCACCCCTTCAGTTTTCACAAGTGTGGTAATGAAGACGTCTCAATCGGCCTTGAGTGAACCCATTAACTCCTGGCACCAGTAAGTCTGGAGATGTAATCCCCTCCCTAAAACCATCTCTGATCCTGTCTCCTCTCTGAGGTGTGCATGTGTGCGTGTGTGATTTCATGTGTTCACGTTAGAACAGTGTGATGGAGGAAGTTCAAGGTTAAAAACAGAGGCTTGGAATTCATAATCGAGAGCAATGTTTGCTAATCCCTAAAGTGAAATAGTTTTAGTTATTTGACTAAAATGGTGCAAAAGCATCATCGCATAATGTCTACAGAGCTAAATCCACTTTAGACTTAAAAGCTTTCTTTCTTTCTTTCTCATTGCAGAATAAAAAAATAAAGATTTCGATCTTTTTTAGTCCTTTTATTATAAGATATCTTGAGAACAGAAATGCATCCTTTATTTATTTATTTACACATGCATGCATGCACAAAAAAAATAAGTAAGTCCCTTATCAGAAGAACAGAAATGGTCATGTAAAACAACTACTTGAAAATGTTTTGATTTGTTTGTTTGTTCATTCATAAATTTACAGTTCCTACACCACACAATGAAGCTCAAACATTTCAGGGTAAAACAAGAAAAGGATTGCCTGATTGATTGTTTGTTTGTTCCAGCACTACAAAATGAAGCTCAAACGTTTGTTAAATGAGAATTTATTTATTTATGTATTTATTTCAGCACAATAAAATTATGTTTTCAAAAGCCCTTTATTATAATCTCTTTAGAACAGAAATGTCAACAACTTGCAAAAGGACATCCAAATAATTTTTTTAATTATTATTTCTTTAATACGAGTCAGTTGCAACACAACAAAATGAAGCCCAAACATTTCATAGTGTCAAATGAGAAAATTATTTCCTATATCTTTATATTTATTCATTCGTTCAGAGTTAGTTTTACTGATTCCAATACAAAAGATAAAAATGTTTCATGGTCTTTTTTTTCATAGTGTCTTTAGAATACAAATTATTGTTAACCTATATGTTTATTTATGAAAAACCAGTTTGTGTATTTGTTGTTAGTTTGCTTGTCAGTTTCTCTGATTCCAATAGAGCAAAACTGCAGTTGTTTCACTTTTTGTGAAAATGTCTCTCTCACAAACACAAGCGCTCTGTCTCTCTCATAGACACTTAATGTTCCTGTGAGTGGCTGCAAACGTGGGTAATCCAGCTCTTGTTTATGCCCTTTTCAGCGGGTATTGGTATCAAAGCAGGCGGCTCTTTTGAAGTGGCAGGTAGAGGTTAATGGGCTGTTTTAGAAACACTACACGAGTATGGACACAGTAGTCTGCAGAGACCCAACTACTGACGGAGATAACTGCCGGCCCTTGGATCTGTTGGCCCCCCCAAACGGGATCATTACGCATAGCTGATCTGGTTTATCAGCGGCTTGCTCGAGATTAACTTGATCAGGCCCACTATTGAAGAATACATGATTTCAAAGCCTGCCAGACACTTTTGATTATCAGACGAGCAAATAAAACAGCCTTAGATTGTCCCATTATTGTTTCTAAAGGATCTGAAGGGTTTGATCCCTTTTGGGGCACATTGAAGAAGAAGAAAAACAACAGAAAGACGGCGCCAAGGGAGGAGATTTACGCATACAGAGGTTCACTGGAAGATTTATCACCTGTAAACTAGATCCTGGAAAATGTGTTTTTTATTTATTTATTTATTCATTCATTCATTCATGCTCATTGTGCTGGATAGTTTCTTGCTTGCTTGATTATTTTTTTTTTTTTTTTTTTTTTTTTTTGATCTTGGGTTGTTTGTTTGCTTAGTTACATTTTTGTTTATACATTTATTTTATAAACGACAAAGTGTTTTTGTTTGTTTCTATTTATTTATTTGTAATGATTTGTTTATTTATGTGTGTTCATTTTGTTGAATAATTTCTTGTTTGCTTTTTATTTGTTTGTTTGGCTCTTGGGTTGGTTGCTTGTTTCTTTTTAAATGTATTTGTTTTTGTTTGTTTGTTTGTTTATACACTTATTTAAAAATGGCAACGTTTTTTCGTTCTCATTTATTCATTCATTCATTCATGCTCTTTGTGTTGGATAGTTTCTTGCTTGCTTGATATTTTTTTATTTGTTTTGTTCTTGGGTTGTTTGTTTGTTTGCTTAGTTAAATTTTTGTCTATACATTTATTTTATAAACGACAAAGTGTTTTTGTTTGTTTCTATTATTTATTTATTTTTAATGATTTGTTTATTTATGTGTGTTCATTTTGTTGAATAATTTCTTGTTTGCTTTTTATTTGTTTGTTTGGCTCTTGGGTTGGTTGCTTGTTTCTTTTTTAATTTACTTGTTTTTTGTTTGTTTTGTTTATACACTTATTTAAAAAATGGCGTTTTTCGTTCTTATTTATTTATCTATTTATATGTTGGATAGTTTCTTGCTTGCTTTTTTATTTCTTTGTTCGGTTCTTGAGTTGGTTGATTATTTTTAGTTTTTATGCACTTGTTTATTTTGAAAATAACAAAAAGTGTTTTTTGTTTGTTTCTTGTTGTTTAAAATGGATACCGTCTTATAATGGTGAGCACATTACCATATAAAATATGAAAAATAGCACAAAAATAACAGTCAATATTATGCCTTGTAGTATATATCTATCTATATATACTACAAGGCATAATATATCAAAAATAACAGTCAATATTATGCCTTGTAGTATATATCTATATCTGTGTATGTGTGTGTGTTCTTGCTTGAAAACAAGAATTTTTGTATTTCGGAGTATTTTATGTTGTAAAATTAACATTACATAATTTTTTATTTAATTATGAATAGTTGAATTATGAAAAGTGACTCCTTTTTAATAACTTGCAAAGATGTAATAATGTAAAATAAATGGAGAAATTATATAATTTGTCCATTCATCTTCTCAAACGACCAAGTAATGAAAGTAAAATCATTCAGAGAGTTGAGTCTGTATATATTCTTCCCTCTTCAGCCCATTTAAAGGTTCAAAGAGCAGATAATTTGTTTACACTCTTTCATCATATCTTCATTTCTATCTGTCTCTCTCTTTCAGCGAGAGGCCAAACAAACAGGCCGATCTCATTCCTCTCTTATCTGTCACTGATCTGTCTGTAATTGCATTGTAGGTTTCTATATTCCAGTAAGGCTCAGTGTTAGGACCGTCCCCGTCTTGTTTCCACTGTCCCCGGGCCCTGATATGTGATAAACCGGGGCCTGACTTTGATGTGCATGTCAGTGGAGAGGAATCAGGCTGCAGTACAGACAGGAGCCTGTTTTTATGGATGACAGACGGGAGGGGTTGGAGACGGCAGGTCCACTTCTCATCTCACTAACACTATCATTAAAGCACAGATTACAGTGAGAGAGAGAGAGAGAGACTCTTCTGTAATAATGTTCTTGAGCTGATAGCAGCATACAGACTCATAGATGTTTAGTTTTTTTTGGAAAATCATCAATAAAACTGTGGTGTTAAAGAACCCAGAATCCAAAACACTCATCTTGAGGAACATGTGATATAATAACATGAACGTTTTTAGTCTCTAAAGAACTATACAGCAGCGGAAGAACCGTTTACAGCCAAAAATAGTTCTTCATAAGAAGGTTCTTACACTTTCTTTTAAGAGTGTATGAGTTGCTTAATGCTAAAGTAATTATTTATTTTAGGTTATATGTGTCACATAGTGTTGCGTTGGTGGCATATATTTATTTATTTAAAAAATAGCAATATAGATTATTTCAGCAGTCCATCCTCTCTTATTAAATCACAAAATTTTCTTTAAATCTAATGCAAAACTAATAAGAAATAAAATAATTTTTTTATTAACAATAAATGATTTTAGAGGCTTTTAATTGTTTAAAAACTTATTTTAGCAGTTCACTCCCCCATAAACATTTACATTTTTTACAACTAAAACTAATCACATAAAACTGTAATTTACTTAACTATAATTTATGTAAACTTTTATTTAATGGTTTAAAAACAGGAATATTGATGATTTCAGAGGTTTATCCTCCCTTAATAAAAAATATATAAAAAATTAATTTCTTTAAAATGAATGCAAAACTAGTCATATTTCTTGATTGTAATTTATTTATGAATTTTATTCATTGATAAAAAAAATGAATATAATTTAAATTTCTTTAAAACTAATGCAAAACAAATTCAATATAAAAGTTTTATTGACTTTACTTTTTATTTCTATTTATCTTATTTTTTATATTTAGCATTGCAGATGATTTCAGCAGTCTGTCGTCTCGTAATAAAACATTTCAATTTCTTTCAAACTAATGCAAATCTATCAGATATAAAATAAAGCATTATATTGATTTATTTGTATCAGTCTGGTTTTGGATGCAGATACTGAGTTTACGTTTATTGATGAAAATGTTTTGATCATTAAGAACAGATGCTCAGCTCACACTTGAAAGTATCTTGTACTCTTTGTATTTGTGATGATTGAGTGCAGTTAAGCATATCTGGCTCCATTAGTGTGATAGGGGCTGTGAGGTGTCCGTCAGTGAGTGGATCCTGAAGCTCCGCTACAGACGGCAGTCTCTCAGAGTAATGGCCCCCAGCGGTGACGGCCTTTGATTGTCCTCATTGAGCCTCTTTCATCTCTAATAGGGCTGTTTGCTGCTCTGTAATGACTGCTCATGTATTGTCTCTCTCTCAGTGCTGCAGGGGCCAGAGGCTGAACACACA